AAAATCTTATGTACCCTTCAGTTCAACACTTTTCAATGTTTCTATGGTAAAAGTTTATATTTACATTCTAAAGCCAGAATATAATATTTTAAAAATGATGTGTGGAAAAATTAAAGTTATATTGCAAAAAAAAATTGGTAGACAATTAGAATCATATATTGCTATTTTGAAAATCTTGCCTAGTATCAACAAAGGGTCTGTGTATCTTGAATGTTACCAAGATTAAGAGGTACCACAGTGTCATACTTAGTGTGACTCATATTCTGCCATTGTGTACTTTTCAGGTATGCATTTCTACCATGATTTATGTAGAAGTGAAAAATTTTAGTTTTATTAATTCCTTTGCATTGGATCTTAAGAACTCTTCTGATCTTTTTCATCAACATCTTCCAAAGCTAGACTCATGCAATATGAACGTTTTTCAGCTCAGTATCAACCATCTCTTCAAAGCCTTTGGATTTGGCCATAAAATGCTAGATTAGTTTCCTTCATTCACTGTTCATCTTTTTCTTTTTTTAAATTTTTTATTAATGCTTTTAAATCGTGGTGAATGAATACATAAATTTTTTTTGACATTTCAACCATCTTCATATATACAGTTCAGTGACACTAATTACATTCATCATGTTGTTCAACCATCACTCTTATCCACTCCCAAATTAGACTGTCATACTTAACAGGAGACACTCTGTGTCCCCTGAGCATAGAGTCCTTTTTTCCCCTCCATCCTTCAACAATGAATCTTTATGGACCACTGACAGAGGAATCATAGAATCACTGTTTTTTTTTTTTTTTCGCAGTGTTTCCTCCCTTCCCCTCCCACCCCTGGCAGCCAGCAAAGAAAGTTTCCCTCTATATATAAACCTTTCCTTGACCCTCCACAACAACAAACCAATACTATATTTGTCCTTCTGTGATTGACTTATTTCACTCAGCATAAGGTCCTCCAAGTTCATCCATATTATGTGGTGTTTTGCAGACTCTACATTATTCTTTAGTGCTGCATAGCATTCCATTGTGTGTATGTACCATAGTTTGGTCATCCACTCTTCCACTATAAATCTTAGAGATAAGTCCCTTGCCAGATATGTAATTATCGGCAAATATGAAGTTGTTACTGTCATTTTTGTTATGTGCTTTTTCGTGATGTCGATTTCTTTGTTCCATATAATTTTCTATGCTGAGCTCGTTTTGTTTATGAATTGTGTTATCACTTCCTTTGTTGCTATTGTTTTAGTATTTGCTCAATATTTATGCTTGTCCTCTTTTTTATTTTGATGTGAAGGTTTATCATTTTTCTTTGAGGTTACCCTGTGATTTATAGTTTTCTTCCCAAGTGGAGAACAGTCCATTCTATCTTATAGTTGTCTTGACTTCTCTACCATCTAGAAGTTCTGTAACAACACAGTTTTTTTCCCCTCTTTTTGGTTTGTAGTTGTCCTCATTTGTCAATTGATGTCTCTGGTTCCCTGTTTATAATCTTGGAGGCTTATTTACTTCGTATACTTCCATAGCTGGGTTGGTTTCTGGGTTGTGTCATAAGGTATGTTAATTGTCAGTTGTTGCTGGCTGTTGTTGCTTCTCGGTCCAAAGGGCTCCCTTTAGTATCTGTTGTAAGGTTGGTCTGGATTTAACAAATTCCCTTAATTTCTGCTTATCTGGAAATGTCCTAATTTCACCATCATATTTGAGGGACAATTTTGCTGAGTACATAATTCTTGGTTGGAAATTTTTCTCTTTCAGGGTTTTATATATACCATTCCCTTGTTTTCTTGCCTGCATGGTTTCTATTTAGAAATCCAAACTTAGTGTTATTGGTTGCCCCTTGTAGATAACTTTTCATTTTTCCTGTGCTGTTCTCATGATTCTTCTTTGTCTTTGATGAGTTTGATGATGATATGTCTAGGTGATTTTCTTTTGGGATCTATCCTATTTGGGGTTCCTTGGACTTCCTGAATGGATATATTCTCATCTTTCATCATACCAGAAAAATTCTCTTCTAAAAAATCTTTGACAATTTTCTCTGTAGTTTTATTTGTCTCTTCCTGTTCTGGAATTCCAATGACATGTAGGTTGTTCCTTTTGATGGTAACCCACATGAACCTTAGGTTTTCTTCATTTTGTTTTGATCTTTTTTCTGATTGATCCCTTTCCAAAGAAGTATTGAGGTATTTGCCTTCAATTTCCCTAATTCTGTCTTCCATTGATTCAATTCTGCTCCTTTGCTCATTCAATGTCTTATCTATTTCTGAAAATTTAGTATTAATCTTCTGGATTTGTGTGTGTAGATTTTGTATCATTTCTAATTTTTCATTTATTTTGTCATTTTGTTCTTGTATTGTCTTTTTAAATTGTTCTAGGGTTTTCTCTGTGTTTTCCTTGATCTGTCTCTCAATTCATTGAAGATACCTAAATATAATTCTCCTGAATTCCTTATCAGGGAGTACCTATGATGCTTCTTCCTCAGGGGTATGTTTTGGGTCTGTATCCTGGTCCCTTGTTTCTCCTGCTTAATCTCGCTTCTTTGTGTGAATTGTGATGCTCTGTTGTCTCTGAGGCATTGTGACATTTTTGTGTTTATATTTAATTGATGATTGTATGTTGGAGTGACTTGCCCATGATTTTCATTTCCTTTGTTTTGTTTTATGTCATCTGTGCAAGCAGGGTACTGTTCTCCTCTATTCGCTAGTTGACAGTACTTACACACTCACCACCTGTCTCCTTTCCTGCTGTCAGCCTCTCATATGCCCCTGCCAACCTTGGCAAACAGAGCCTATTCTTAGGTCCCTGGAATCCAAATGAGATTCCTAAAGGGTTTAAAATCCTAAAGGGTTGCCCCTTGTAAAGATTCAAAATGGCTGCCACATGTATACAAAATGGCTGTGCGCTCCAGACAGCGAAAAGTCAACAGTTCAGGTTGTCTCCCTCCTTGCTGTTTCCCTTCCTAGTCATAGGCTACCGGCACAATTGTCTCTGCAGCCCTTGGTGACCAGGGCTGATCTTTAGGTCAATTCTCAGGTCCCAATACCACTTGGAAATATTCAGGCTGTTGGTCCTGTCAGAGTAGCTGACAGTCCACAGCTCTGATTGTCTCTGTACTCACTGTTTTTGTTCAGATTTTTTCACTAGTGGTGCCTAATCCACTTGTGTACAGTTCCTTTCAAAGCTCAGGGCTCCAGGATTATCTTCTGTATCTCTGTCCATTGGTTTTTCTTTTCTCTGTTGAAGAGAGTCTGTGTCGCTTGTTTGTCTATTCCTCCATCTTACTGGAAGTTCCATTCACTGTTCATCTTCTGGGGGAGAAACCCTTTGCTTCACTTGTTGATGAACTCTTCAGTGTTTTTCATTTTATTTTTTAAATGAAGAGGCAACAATGAAAGCCCAAGAGAGTATCCAGTCAAGCCATTGGCCAGCCTAAGAGGATAAACAGTGCATGGAGATGCAATGTGTAACATTACATTTAAACTCAATTGTGGCATAATCAACAGTTCTCTTAAAAAACAGTCCAATGTATTTTTTAATACCATATGAAGAAATTTACAAATGTAAACTACTGAAGTGTGAGTAAAGCTCCACTTTGCAATTTTTTCTTTTTTAATATAAAAGCATATTATCACCACCCCCTGAGGATTTTTAATGGCTTCCAGTTCATGCCAATTGTTGGGGTGGGATTCCAGGTAAGATTTGTATCAGGTTCTCTAGCCAGGTTTGAGTTCTAGTGGCACACTAATGGTGTCTCCACTATTTGGGTGATGAGCACTGGTCTAAGTTGACAACATTGCTAAGTGGCTCAGGGTTTGGAAAGGCTAAGGCACTTGACTGCTAACCAGAAGGCTGGCGGTTCAAACCCATCAGCCACTCCTCAGAAGGAAGGTTGGGCAATCCTACTTCCGTAGTGATACTGCCTGGGAAACCCAAGGAGGGGTCGCTATGAGTCGGGCCCCACTCGACGTTAAATAATAACAACAACAATGACCTACTGCCCTTTTCCTACACAGAAAGTGTATGAGCATGGATGAGATTTTATAAGCCTTCCCAGGCACCACAGATCCCAGAAAGCCCAGCAACTGGGACCAGTTCAATTTTAACCAGCAGGCAGCCTTAGTTATTGCTTGGCGGCAGTTGTGGGGAGGACGTTTGTCCCAGGCTGTCCTCTGGCAACCCTTTTCGTCCACTAGCTCCCAACAAAGATATTTAATCCCTTTCTTCCACCATCAGCCCTACTTGGCCGGCTTTGAGAGGTTAGAGGCTGGAGTACCAAATCAAAAAAAGCAAACTCATTGCCAAGGAGTCGATTCAGACTCATGGAGACCCTATAATAGGGCAAAGTAGAACTGTCCTATAGGAGGTTAGCGGTTCAAACCCACCAGCCAGCCACTCCTCGGAAGGAAGGTTGGGGAATCTACTGATACTGCCTCGGAAACCCAAGGAGGGGTCGCTGTGAATCGGGTCTGACTCCACCGCACATAACAACAACAACACAGGGTTTCCAAGGCTGTAAATCTTTATGGAAGCAGACAGCCACATTTTTCTCCCAGAGCAGCCAGTGCTCACCTGTCAGGAGGCTGGTTAGCCGGCTAGCATCCAAGCGCTTTAACTACTGAGCCACTAGGGCTTCTTAAGATTGGCGTATAATCTGGTCTAAGTCATCTATCATTGAGCACCCTCTAAAGCACTCGCGCTTCAGTGCCCCACACGGCGTGAGAGTGGGTAGGCAGGCGCATCCTGAGCTCCCAGGCGGTGAAGGAAGGTCTAGGGGCGAAGATTCTTAAAAGCACTCAGCTTCCCCAGCCACGTAGTGTTCTAAAGCGTGGGCGCGCTCTGAGCCCGCGGGAGCCCGCCCCCGGCAGAGACCCACTTGAGAGAGCGCGCACGCTCCGCCTTTTCCCGCCTCCCTGGTGCGCGTCCCGCCCCCTTGAGCGGCGATACGCTGAGCGTTCAACATCCGAGGACTTTGGCCCCGAGTAACCCTTCTCGCGTGACCTTTTCCTTCCATTCCTCACCTCCCGCGGGGGGCGGGGAGAGCGCGCGGCTGCTGGGCGCTCGCTCCCCAGTTCCCCTCATCCCTTCGTACTCCCAGCTCTTCCCCTCCGAACCCCACCGCGGCTCCTCGTCATGGCGGCTTTCAGCAAATCCATTCCTCATAACTGCTACGAGATCGGCCACACTTGGCACCCTTCTTGCAGAGTTTCCTTCCTGCAGATCACCGGGGGAGCCCTGGAGGAGTCCCTGAAGATCTATGCCCCCCTGTACTTGGTGAGAACCCAGGGCGAGTTTTGTTTGGAGGGTTGGCTAGGCGATGTTGGAATTCCCGAGGGGCCCTGGGGGACGCGCGCTATGTCGGTTTCGCACTTGGAAGGATCTGAGTGTTTTGGGGACAGGATTACAAATCCTATGCGAGGTAAAGGGGAGGGGAATTAGAGGTTTGACTTGTCATCCGAATGCCGGTTGCTGAGAAGAGGATGGGCTTCCAACTTTAGGATTAAGTTCAGGGCATTTAAAAATATAAATACAGGGACTTGTATTATTTCTCCTCACCCCTGCTTTGTGGTGGAGAGGTGTTTGTAGATCAGCGAGGTGATGAGAATGGCTTGCAACCTTTCCTCATCTAATTCCTCCTTTTTTTTCCTTTTTTTAAAAAAGGGGCAAATTTGACAGTAAGTCTCTAGTCTCAGATCTGGTCGCAGTTTTGGATGACAGTGTTAGGATTTGAGGGTTTTGCAAGTGTTTTTGCACGTTTACAAAATAAACTCCTGTTTGAAGTTTTGCTGGTGATTTAAAGGGTAGTTCCAGTTTTCGAGTCAATGAAGGTGATTAGGAAGTCTGACTGTAGGTTCTTTTATTACAGATAATTTCATATGGATAATCTAAATTTGGAGTTTTTAATAGTATTTGGAACTATAATACTGAAACTATTAAAGAAGTTTATTCTTAAATGTTATCTTCTTTTCATTTACCCAGTCCTTGGTATTAAACATTTAGTACTTTGGCTACTGAAATTCATTTCTCTCTCTTTTTTTTTTTCCTTATATGATCTGTGTCCTAAGAACACAGAGGTCATATTTTTTGTGTATTTCTTAAGAGTGTTATTCAGTAGTCAATGGATGATCAATTAATTTTTCTTATTAAAGTAATAAGTTGTATTTACAGCTTAATATGCCTGAAAGTGCATCATAGCCATATCTAGTACTACTTGAAAAGTCTGATTATTTATTACGTAGATAACACAGTAGAAGATGGTGACTCAGATTACAGAAGCCAGGTTCATTTTTATCATATGGACTAGTGCTTTGATGTACGTTAGAAATCATGTGGGGATCATAATAAAATGGGGATTCTAATTCAGTAGAACTGGGTAGAGCCTGAGATTCTGCATTTCTGACAAGCTCCCAGGTAAAGTTGATGCTGTTAGTAGAGACTGATCATAAAGTTAAGTGAGGAGCTAGAAACAGCTGGCCTAATTTTCTATGGCAAAGATCGATGTTTATCTGCTTTTTGACACAAATTTAGCCAGTCTATGGCCCAGTTTTATTTTTTTAAAACAGAACATCTATAAACATTTTATGCTTCTGATATATTCAACTCTACAAAAAGATTGTTCCTATGCTCAGAGGATTATGCACTGAAAGTGCGTCATGGCCATATCTAGTACTACTTGAAAAGTCTGATTATTTATTATGTAGATAACACAGTAGAAGATTTTGACTCTGAGATTACAGAAGCCAGGTTCATTTTTATCATATGGACCAGTGCTTTGATGTATGTTAGAAATCATGTGGGGATCCTAATGAAATGGGGATTCTAATCTAGTAGGACTGGGTAGAGCCTGAGATTCTGCATGAGTCAGAATCCCCTCGATGGCAACCAGCAACAATACGTTGTTGTTATTTGCCATTGAGTCGGCCTCGACTCATAGCGACCCCTCCTTGGGTTTCCGAGGCAGTATCACTACGGAAGTAGGATTGCCCAACCTTCCTTCCGAGGAGTGGCTGGTGGGTTTGAACCGCCAGCCGTCTGGTTAGCAGGCAAGTGCCTTAGCCACTATGTTACCAGAGCTCCCAGCAACAATATAGTAATTCTATATTTAACTTTTTGAGGAACCACTAAACTGTTCTCCACAGTGGCTATATCATTTCACATTCCCACCAGCAGTGCATGAGGGTTCTGGTTTCTCCACATCCTCCTTAACACTTGTTACTTTCTGTTTTTTTTGGGGGGGTGGTGGAGGTAGGGGTGGGTAATAGCCATTCCCATGGGAGTGAAGTGGTATCTCATTGTGGTTTTGATTTGCCTCTCCCTAACAATCATGAGGGAAGGCCCAGGACTGGGCAGCATTGATTTTTGTTGCGTATCAGGTTGCCTCTGGTGGCCTAGTCCCTAAGGCATCTGACTGCTAACTAGAAGGCTGGCAGTTCAAACTTACCAGCCATTCCTCAGAAGGAAGGTTGGACAGTCTGCTTCCATAGGATATCCCCTCGGAAACCCAAGGAGGGGTCCTTATGAGTTGGATCCGATTTGATGGCAGTGAGTTTGGTTTGGTTTTACCAGGTCGCCGTGAGTTGGGGGCCCAATTGACAGCAGCTAACAGCAACAACAACTCATGATGTTGAGCAGTTTTTTTTGTATGATTAATTGGCCATCTGTATATCTTTTTCTGAATAAGTATCTATTCAAGTCTTTTGCCCATTGTTAAATTGGATTGTTTGTCTTTTTTATTGAGTTGTGGGAGTTCTTTATATTTTCTGGGTAACAAACCCTTATCAGATATATGTTTCCCAAATATTTTCTCCCATTCTGTCTTTCACTTTCTTAATAATGCCTTTGATGTACAAAAGTTTTTAATTTTGATGAAGTCCAGCTTATCTTGGGCAGGCTTCTTGGAGGAATTGGCATTTGATTTGGGCCTTGAATATAGGAACAGACAGACATTGATTCCGGTAGTAGATATTTATGGAGTACCTATTCTTAATAGAAAGGCACTCTGGTGGTAGGGCATTTGGCTGCTACCAGAAGGCTGGTGGTTCAAAACCACCAGTGGCTTCACTGGAGGAAGATGAGGCAGTCTACTTCTATAAAGATTTATAGCCTTGGAAACACAGTGGGGGTTGTTATGAGTTGAAATCAACTCAATGGTAATGGTTTGGTTTTTGGGTATTATTAATAAAAGGAGCTTCTCTGGTGGTGCATTGGTTAAAGCACTCACTTGCGAACTGAAAGGTTGGTGGTTTGACTCTACCAGGGCTCCATGGGAGAAAGTGGTAGCAGCCTGCTTCTATAAAGGTTTATAGCCTTGAAAACCCCATGAGGCAGTTCTGCTGTTCTATAACGTTGCTATGAGTTAGAAGGGGAATGGTGTGAACAATGGTAGAAAGGTAAATGGTTCTGTGAGAGAAACAGTATGTACGTTGGTTGCCTCAAACAGAAGGTAATTATGAATGATAAAAATTTATACACATTGAGCACTAATACGTTTAAACAACCAACCCTCTAACCCACTGCTGTTGAGTCAATTCTAACTCATAGCAACTTTATAGGATAGAGTAGAACTGCTTTAATTAGTACAGTACCAGAGCTTCTGCTAATGTGCTTCCAGACTAGACCAGACTGCCATTGAGTGATTCCAACTCATAGCAATCCCTGTTGGGTTTCCGAGGTGGTAAATCTTTACGGAAGTAGATTGCCCTGTCTTCCTTTTTCAGAGTGGCTGGTGGGTTTGAACCACCAATCTTCTGGTTAACAGCCAAACTTCTGGTTAGTTAGTTCCTTAGGCACTGCACCACCAGAGCTCCTTTACTGATGTGCTTGTTGTTGTTGTTGTTATGTGCCCTTGAGTCATCCCAACTCATAGTGACCCCTCCTTGGGTTTCCAAGGTGGTATCTCTACGCAAGTAGATTGCCCAACCTTCCTTCCAAGGACTGGCTGGTGGGTTTGAACCACCAGCCTTCTGGTTAGCAGTCAAGTGCCTTAGGCACTATGCCACCAAATCTCCTACTAATGTGCTTAGTGCTTTGCATAGTCTGTTTTATTGCACCCTTATACAACTCTATCTATCATTGTCATTTCATGTTGTTGTTGTTGTTATGTGCCTTCAGGCCGACTTTCATAGGTAAGAAAACTGAAGATTAGAGATTAAAGAGTTTTAGAAGGTTCAAATCTAGTAAGAGAAAGAGGCAGGATTTGGTTCTAGGTCTTTTTGACTCAAAGACTTAGGCCAGGTTAAAGGAGCCATTGAGGGTTTTTTTTTTTTTTTTTAAGAAAAAGGATTACAATTACAAAATGGTGTTTTAAGATGATGAACCTGGTAGTACTGGACTGACTGGATTGGAAGCACTGTTTAGGAGTTAATGTAGTAGATTCACTGAGTGGTAGACAAGACAGAGCTGTGGAACCCTGGCTCTGTAACTTACTAGCAGTGTGCTCTTGGGAAGCTTCCTTCTCCTTCTTGCTTTGCAGGAAAAAATTATACCCACATGTTAGGGCTGCTGTGAGGATTTAGTGGGATAATAGTGTGAAGGAGTAGCTGTTGTCACATAAACCAAACCAATCCACTGCCATTGAATCATTTCTGACTCATGAATGTCCTATTACCGCTGCTGTTGAGTCAGTTATTCTGACTCATAACAACCCTTTAGGGTGGAGTAGAACTACCTTATTGGATTTCCAAAGCTGTAAATCTTTGTATAGATGGTCTCATCTTTCTCCTGTGGAATAGCTAGTGGTTTCAAACTGCTGACCTTTTGGTTAGCAGCTGAATTCTGTAACCACTAATGCCATCAGAGCTTCTTCCTAGGTCCCTGTACCCACTGCCATGAGTTGATTCCAACTTATAACAGCCCCCATTGGGTTTCCGAGGCATACATCTGTATGGAAGTAGATTGCTTCTTCTTCCTCCCATGGAGTTGCTGGTAGGTTTGAGTCACTGACCTGGTGATCAGGCAAATGCCTTAACTACTCTGCCACCAGAGCTCCTTAGCGACCCTATAAAACTCACTGCCATTGAGTTGGATCTGAATCATAGTGACCCATCCTTGGGTTTCTAAGGTGGTATCACTACAAAAGTATATTGCCCACCCTTCTTTCCAAGGAATGGCTGGTGGGTTTGCACTGTCAGCCTTTTGGTTAGCAGTCAAATGCCTTAGGGCTTTAATAAGTAAAGTGTTAAAATTGAAATATTTTGCTATGATCAGTGTCTCTATTTCCTGTTGTTGTTGTTAAGTGCTGTCGAGTTGGACTCAACTCATAGCAGCCCCTCCTT